AATTTCTCTAAATCTAGATCTAGAATCTACAGATCATGTTTACTATCTAGAATCTAGGTGAAACCAAAATTAATTAGTTAAAAATAAAAACAATTATAAAAAGACGTTAAATTATTGAGTTGCTTTATTAAACTATTTTAGTCCTTAAACATTTTATATGAACCTTTGTTTGTTTAGCTATGGAATCGGATAATTTGGGATACAATTTAATTTGAAATAATACAAGATCTAGAGCCTATTCGCGGAAATGGAGTTTCTTACGCAGAATACAAGTAAAATATTTATTAGTATAATCATACCTGATCCTACAAGCTTAGTTAGCTAAGATGTTAGTGTCTTAGGTTACCATGCGGGTGGCATCATGCGTGTGTAAATTTTTAATTTTTGTTTTTTAATGTGAATGATAAAGTTGCCTATAGGAACTTGGCAGGATCAGTGTTTCTTCCAGACCTTTTTCTCCGGGGGGGGGGGGGGTGAGGGGAGAGGGGGCACTTGAATTTTTATGGGGGGGGGGGGGGGCGATAGACTTTCTTCGGTGGCGGGGGGGGGGGCGGACACTGTTCAAAGAATATATTTTCTATATAAATTATATAAATTTCTTTTCGTTCGGGGGGGGGGGGGGGGGGAGGGTAGAATTATTTCGGGGGGACTTCGCCCCCCCCCCCCCCCCGAAGAGATGTCTGGAAGAAACTCTGGGCAGGATGATACAGGGAAGGTGAGGTAGAATTCACCTTGACCCGAATTTTTTTTTAAACGATAAAAACATGTTTTTTGAGACTAGGTGTAGAGTTCATCAGTGACGTCAGCATTTAAATGGATAGTGTGCACAGATCCATGCTCAACCGAAATCGGTGTTTTAAAAGACAAAATCATGTATGAGATGGGGGAGACACTGGGCAGGTGAAGTAGAGTTGTGTTGGTGTAGAGTTCACCTGTGATGTCAGCATATGAAGGGATAGTGTAGTCAGGCCCAGGCTCAGCCGAAATCGGTGTTTTTAAAAGACAACGTCGAAGGTGTGTCTACTTTATGAATGTGGGGTCAAGTTATTTTGTGATGATAAGGAACAGACGTGATGCCATTTATGAATGACCCCCGAAACCCACAGTTATGGAATGATAACGGATAGTCTATATATATATATATATATATATATATATATATATATATATATATATATATATATATATATAATATATATATATATATATAATATATATATATATATATATATATATATATATATATATATATATATATATATATATAATGCTGGAAAAAATTTGACCCCCCATCCATGAGACGATCCTGGCTAAGCCACTGAACAAATTTCTGTATATATTTAGTCAATTGATATATTGTAAATTTAACGCTACAACCTTTTAATTATTCGTTTCGTCAAAACGTTACCAATCGTGTATATTTAGACGTGTGCCCTGTTTTCCAGAAGTTTAATTAAATGTGAACATGTCGGCATTTCATTTCTTGGATCTTAGTTGTTGGGGTGCTAGTTTGTCCACACTACCAACTAGACAAGCCAAGGCATGCTGTTAGCACCTCGGCGACGTTCCAGCTGTCAGGGAAGTCACGGGGCTCCTGGGAGCTACCGGTTACATTACTGTAGGGCCTACGGGTGATGAGTGCAACACAGTGATTCTTACAAAATGCCAGACCCTACCCCCCCCCCCATGACGTCATTTATGAATAGTAATTGACTATTATTAATTTTCAATTAATTCTAAACGTTCTTATTAATTTATAAATAATTATATAACAAATAATCTTACCTTTCCTGTTTTGTGAACTAGATGCACCTAATACTATGCAAGTAAACTAATATCTGCTGACTAGTGCTGTCTAGTGTCTGACAAAATGTGCTGAAGTGGTGAATGTACGATAAGGAAGTAGTTCATAAAAGATACATCGATCTATTCGATACTTGCGAGGCTAAGAAAGAGGGGTGGGATGGGAGTCGGCTTGGGAAAAAACTTGAAAGAGACAACAAAGCGCCTATGTACACAGGGGAGGTAATTTAAATAAAGTTTACTTTGACATGTCTTGTAAAAGCAAAAACAAGAAAACGTATATAAAACCGAAGTTTCTAGTAGTATGCTATTTTTTATTAATTGTAGGATACAGGATAGTACAGGATAGAAATTCTACCATTATGACAAACATATATTAACCTTGAAAAAGATACAATGGATTTCGGGTCCCTTACCAATGCCGCAAAGATGAACTGCATCATGAAACCCACTTCAAATGTAGCGGCTTATCGATCTTGTTTTTTTTAGAAAGAATTTTGCCGTCGACAGCGTGTGTTTGATTGTAGGGAAATAGAACTCGACCTTGACGATGGTTAAAAAAATACAATTATAAATAACTTTTTACTTTCTCGAATGTACGAAGTATAGAGAAAGTATTGTAATCGTGCAAAAAAAAATCGAGATTTTCACAAACCTCGACGTTTAACACCTAACTGATACGGAAAAACATAGTTTTGCAATCTTGTCCGTATGTCTGTGTGTGTGTGTGTGTGTGTCTGTGTGTAAACACGATAACTTGAGTACCGTTACAGCTAGGTTGATGAAATTTCAAATATAAGTATTTTATCAAAATCGTAGATCCGTATAAACGTTTGAGCGATTTCCGATAACCGGAAGTTGTACGTTTTCTACTTTGAAATTTAAAAAGCCTATAACTTGAGTACTATTTCAGATCTAATTCTCTACCTTCTGTCAAATTTTGAGTAATTTCCGTTGAACGGAAGTACTAATTTACGCTATTTCCGATTTCTCAAAAAACGCATGTAAATTTAAAAAGCACTAATAATATTCCGCACTATTATGCACATTTTGTTTTGGCGTTCGCTTGGTGCGCAATTCTTTTTTCTACGAGATTATATTCTATTTTTAAAAGTTTAAGTAATTAAAAATCATGTCTATATTCCGAGTTATATAAGAATATTCGAGAAAGTTTAGGGGAGATCACTCCCGGTTTATTAAAATATGTAAATAAATTTGACGACAATTTCCGAGCCTCGTATTTGGTCCCCATACCCTGCTCCATCCGCCACAGTACACTTTGGAGGATCGGTCGAACAGTTACAAGGCCTCTATTTGGCTATCAATGGGGAGCAACCATTCACTGAAGGCATTACAATTTGAAGTTTTGCCAATATTTTACACTGCAATTTGTGTAATGGATTTTAATTTTTGCGGAAGAGCGTGGTATAGTGACTGTAAAAGAAAGATAACCGTACAGCAGCAACAGTTTTTATTACAAACCAAATATCAAGTAAAAATGCACGAAAATAAAATTCAAAATTCTTAAAAACATTAATAATAGTCGGCTGTGGGCCCACTAAACGGGTGCCCCCCCCCCCCCCCAGACGCTGAGAGAATCGTGTAAAAAAAAACTTAGTGTTGTGTCACATTAATTAAGTCAGACGCAGAGAGAATTGTGTAAAACAACCTTTGTTTTGTCTAACATTAGTTTGTGACAGCAGATACATACAGTGGAGCTAATTAAGGAATAATTACAAAAAAATAACATTGGTCTATTTATTTCACGAAATTAATTTCTTCAGGCAATGTATTTAACGCGAATGGTTGTTAAGTGAGTTTGGTTTGATTAAAGTAATTAGAATACAAGATAGTTAGTGTAGAATATGATTACAATACATTTTAATTAGAATGTAATATGGTTATGATGATATAATGTTGGTATATGAAAGATAAAAGGAAGATGTGGTCATTTGAAGGAAAGAGTTTTTACATGAATGAGAGGGATTAATATGTAGTTGAAATCTCATACAAAATGTGACGTTACTTTTTCTGGCGCAATATACACATAATTTTTACTAATCGCGCAAAGGCAGTGGTTCTGAACCTTTTTGGGGGAACCGAACCCCACCAATTTCAAAATAGAGTCGTGTTTCTGAAAAGTCAGAAGGCGGAGTGGATATTGAAGTGTTGATTTACACTCAAATTGCTAGTAGTTGTTCTAAATAAACCAGAAGTGATCTACCCTAAACTTTCTGGAATATTCTTATTTACATTACGCGATATGGCAACTCAGGATATAGACACTATTGTTAATCCATTTTTAATTACTTAAACTTTTAAAAATAGAATAGAATCTCGTAGAAAAAAGTATTGCACACGAAGTGAATACTAAAAAGAGGCGTAGCGATGGGGGCCCAGGGGTGCATATGTCCTCCGGGCGCCGACCGTATACAGCGCCAAAATAATCTCATTTCAGCTGCTATTTTGAATTATAAATATTAAAAAATATCTGGGGGGTGGGGGCGCCAAATTGAAAGTTTGTCCCCGGGATGGGTCGCTACGCTTCTGATGACAAACAAAATGTGTATAATAGTGCGGAACATTATTAGTACTTCACAAATTCACATGCATTTTTAAGAAATCGGAAATAGCGTAAACTACTACTTCTGGTAAACAGAAATTACGCAAAATTTGAACAAAGACAGAAAAGTAGATTTTTTTTTACATGTGAAATTTCATTTATCTATCTGAAATAGTACTCAAGTTATAGGCTTTAGAAAAATTGAAAGTAGAATAAGTTCCACTAACGGTTGTTGGAAAAGTTGATACATAAATTTGATATAATAGTTACATATGAAATTCTATCAACTAAGCTGTAACGGTACCCAAGTTATCGTGTTAAGGGACACACACACACACACAGACACATGGACAAGATATTAAAACAATGTTTTTTTCGACCCAGGGATTACCAGACTTTCTTTATACTTCGTATATACAAGAAAATGGAATGAATATAATATACAGGAAACCCGTCTTGATTGGATTTGTATTTCGGGCTTATAAAGATAAAAAAGAAAGTAAAAAGCATGTAGTAAAAAGTAAATATAGCAGGGTGGGGTGACTTGTTTAATTAAACATGGCGTCTGATTAAAGTTACTGTTAATTGCAGTGTCACAGCATGTGGATCTCTTGTTAAAAATAGTCAACTAATTAGCCTGGTTTTTAATTAATGATTTTGTCACTGTTTGGTCTGACGCGTGATGCAGGTCCTTGATGCAGGTTCAATTTGATCTGGCATACTGGGTGGGGCTAAACCGCGGGCTTTAAAAACCGTTCAACCAAGGGAAGAAATCCAGTGCAGAGAATGACACTTGGAAGTGTTTTGAGATTGGTAAGTTATAGACATTTATTTTTGTCAAAAGTTGATTTCATTTCGGGGACCTCGCGACTTACATAATTTCAGTAGTTTAACTAGTGTAATAACAGTGCTGATCATTTCATTATTGCAATTATGTTCCATGAAACAACTGTAAAAGTCCTATGAAACACCTGTAAAAGTCCTATGGAATACCTATAAAAGTCCTATGGACAGGTTTAGAAGTCATATGAAACACCAGTAGAAAGAGTGTTGAGCACCTTTAGAAAATATTTGGAACACCTGCAGAAAACCAATAGTGCCCCCTTAGCTAGGTCACATAACAAAGCATAATGAAACCGCTGTTTTTCTTTGAAAATAAATTTATTAAATTTATATTCTTTATTGTGCTTGTTGCATTTTGTCTTTTGCTAAGAACAAATAAATCAAAAGTCATTCTTATAGTTAAGCTTATTTATAGTGATTTAATTTTAATTAAAAAATTTGCAGTTCTAAATATATAAAACTGTTTCGTAAACCAATTTGTTTAATTCTTCACTTATATGTAGGTGCTATTGACCTTAGTTGTAGGTCACGTGATAAGTAGTAGAAACAGATTACAAAAGGTACAAACTGTAGTGAAGAGTCTGGCTAGACAGGTAGGTGACCTATTATGTTAATTAAGTCAGCGTTAATTTATGCCGGGGTGCATAATGGTACCTGTGAGATTGATGAGCTTCTGTGTCTTAGATATCAGTGTGGTGATGTTGTCAGATGACTGCTTGTGAATTTCAATGGATAAAACAGAAGACGAGAATGGAACAAAATATGCTCTTGCTCAGTTTGGTTTAACCCCCCCCCCCCCCTCACCATCGCCTCTTAACTTCATTCACACATGCAACAGTAGGTTCTCTACTGGTTGATAAAATAAGATAGCATCAAGCTAAAAAAATACATTGAGAAAGATGGGTTTTCATAGTTAGAGAAACTAGTTTGTATCATTATTACCGTGTTTTCTCTTCATCTTCTTCGTTCTTAATTTTTAGTATTGGAATGGATTCCCTCTAACACAATTAACTAACTTAGTCAATGTGTTTGATATCAAACTTTAATGATGTGCTAAATAAGAAAGTAAAGTTCCCATTTGGAAGCTGGCGGTCTATAGGGCAAATGAAGTAGAGTTCACATGTTTCTATGACTACGGCATATGAACGGATAGTGCTATGGAGAGGAAGTTTAATTTTTTTTAATCATAGAATATCCTGTAAATTTGAAGTCATTACTGGCAAAATTACATCACTAGTGACATGTATGTAATCATTACTCACATACTCCCATGACATTTGTGTCCTAATCTTTTGGCTCCAAATCTGCTAGTCTGTTGTTGAGCTGGTCATGAGTATGACGGACAACACTATCGTTAAGAATTCAAATGTTGCTGACGTTTTTCATGAGGATTATATTGCAGCATATGTCAGACAACAGTATCGTTAAGAATTCAAATTTTGATGACGTTTTCATGCAGGTTATGTTGCAGCATATGTGAGACAACACTTTCGTTAAGAATTCAAACGTTGCTGACGTTTTCTATGCAGATTATGTTGCAGCATATGTCTGACAACACTATCGTTAAGAATTCAAACGTTGCTGACGTTTTTCGTGCAGATTATGTTGCAACAGATGGGAGTGGAGGAAAAACTCAGGCAAGATGGCGGGTCCGGTCTGAAACAAATCCGGCTGGACCTGGACGGGCCCAAACTCTACTACGTCACCAGCCACAGTGGTCTCACTATGAACCACATCCACGACCACAGCAACACAATTCGGACGTTGGGCGTAGGGGCAGGACAGGTCAGTTGATATGTTGTTGTTGCTTTTTTTTAATTTACCATCAATCTTCTCTAGATAAAAAAAAATTCAATTAGTATAAATCGTCTCTAGCAAACTATTTTTGTTTAATTTACCGATAATTTTCACTATAATCTATCTATATACTACTAAAACTCAAGTTTGTGTACATGTTTGAATATTTTTGTTTTGTTTTTTTGTTTGTCTGATTGACTATTGTAAATGGTTCTACTCTATGTGGAGAGCTGTAAAATTGAAAATTTTTTGTTTTCATGCAGACTGCTAATCACAAATTTATTTAAAGACATTAATTCATTTATTGATTTATTCATTGGTAGATTAACCACATTAATTTTAAAAGATTAGAAAAACGACTTGACTTGACGGAATAGTGACGTCACATTTTTTGTTTACTTTTTAGTAAAATAAAATGGCGGCTTCTATCGAAAAAGATTGTGTTCCCATTCCAAAGTTTTACGCGTTCTAAAGCTAATTTTCTGTCGGCTATAACTTTAACAATACTTATTACGTTCCAACACTTAAAATCAATTTTTAACTGTCTTTTTCATGTAGTTTTACGATAAATTTCTCTAGATCTACAGATCAGCTGCCGAAGGAAGAACATACAAACATGTTATGAAATCTAGATTCTAGATCTAGATCTAGGTCACTAGACTTTACGTAAATTCTAGATCTAGACTTAATGCAAATTCTACATCTAGAATCTATTTCAGGCCTTATTTTATATAAATCTTTGTTTAGCTTCAATGAACATCTAATTCGAGAATACATCGGATTTATCTATCTAGGTTCTAGAGCTAGATATAGTAGGATTATTCGTTTTATTGGAGGCGTGGTCGGTTGCTACCAACAATGGCGTCCGGATGGGACGCATGACTTCCGACTAATTTTAGGCTATGTTTACCACGAGCAAAATGGCGGGTTTTCACGTTATATAAACATGCTATAGGTGGCCAGGGCTAGATATGCCAGTAAAGCATTTTAAAATTTGTTTTCGATAATGAAGGCTAAATTTTGAATTCGTGTCATTAAAATTAAATAGAACTTTTTAAAGGTCACCTGTGACGTCAGTATATGAAGGGATAGTGTGTTCTTAAACACAAAAAAAGTCTTTTTGAATGTGGGGTCTGGTTATTTTGTGATGATTAGTGCCAGACGTGATGTCATGTATGGATGACCCCCGAAACCCACAGTTAGCTAACTAGATAACGGGTAGTCTAGTATTTTTAAAAAAATTACCATCAAGCGCTTCTAGAAATAAAAAAAAAATATACCATAATTTCCGTATACTATTTTCTAAACTATGTTGCATTGTTTATTTCCGCATACTATTTTCTAAACGGTGTTGCATTGATTTGTTTCCTTGCAGTACGTTCTAAACGGTGTTGAGTTTCGGACCCGCCATGAAAATTTCAAGCTGCAGATGCCCGGTAAAACAAAACTGAACGGGGAAGTTGAAGACATACCTTTCCCTCCAGTACCCCAAAATATACTAGCGATGCCGACCGTTGAACAACAGGTAAGATAAAAATTAACATATGGTTTATTTTCATGTAAAGAAGTTACTTAACAACGCAGGTTATTGCGATCCCTAATTAGATTGAATTATTATCTGTTTGTGGGAAGGATTTATACACTACCTAGAGAGCTCAGGAAGGAATATCTGTTACAGATACCCGTGGTGGAGGAATGTTCTAGAGAATATAAGTTACTACATGTAAAATGGTAGAGAAAATATGTAATTAAGTGCCTAAGTCTGATAGTGACATTGCGAAAAGGTTACGGGTTGACGACTCCTGGGCGGATTTAGCTTGAGCAGGGCCCTCGGTTGAAATTTTTCGGTGGCAAATATATATATATATATATATATATATATATATATATATATATATATATATATATATATATATATATATATATATACATGTGTGTCGTTGCGCGCGTGTGTGTGTGTGGGGGGGGGGGGGCGTTGAATATTATGTTTAAAAAATGAAGCTTGAGATGCAAATATTAGAATTTTAGTTTTTATAGTAAAAACCAAAAATCAAGCAGAAAATTTGCGGGCCCCTAAAAAATCGGGGGCCCCTGACTGCAGTCACCTCACCCTCCTGTTTTAATCCGCTACTTGTTGACATTGTTACCTAGATCAGGGGCATTGGGCAGATGTTTTGTGTTGACATTGTTTAGTACATTAAGGGCAGGGGTTAAGGTTGACATTAACAAGAACATGATGGATATTGGGAACGGGTTTAGAATAGCTATCAAAACTCATCAGAAGTGCTATCAAAACTCATCAGAAATGTTATCAACAGTCACCAGAAGTGCTATCAAAACTCACCAGATGTGTTATCATAACTCATCAGAAGTGCTATCAAAACTCACCAAAAGTGCTATCAAACTCACCAGATGTGTTATCAAAACTCATCAGAAGTGCTATCAAAACTCACCAAAAGTGCTACCAAACTCACCAGAAGGGCTATCAAAACCATCCCTGTTCTCGCAGTACAGCCAGTTACAACCCTCTTGCTTATCTCTACAGATCAATGAACTACGTCAATATTTCCTAGCCTTCTCCAAAAGCGACACAAGGATACGGAACTACACCCCGTACTTCAGGCCTGTCCTATGTTACCTAGAAGGTGCATGGGTCAACAAGACGGAGAACTTAAAACCTCATCTAATGGAAGGTGACCACGGTGTTGATATCGAGACGTATTTTGACCTACAGGTCTGTTCAGCTTATTTTCACACATGTGTGTGTGCATCTGTGTGTGCTTGTGTACGTGCACGTTTATGTGCATTTGTATGTGTACGTGCAAGTGTACGTGTATGTGCGTGCGTATGTTAATGTGTATGTGCATGCATGTATATGTGCGTGTTTTTTTTTTAATATATTTTTTTGTCTGTGTAGGAGAGGAATCGGTTTAACGGCCACACCGGCAAGGTCAGTCTCAGGGAGAATCACCCGCTGTTGCCGACGATCATTTCCAAGATCTCGGACTTTGGTTCCCCGACATACGGCCAGTGGGACTACAGGATACTCTGTAATCCCATCGATGACAGCCCACATTACGAGGGGTACCTCAAACTGTCGATTCTACAGCCTCTGGACGATCTGAGTGTCCGACTTTCAAGAAATCTGCCGTGGTTCCCGTACCAGGTAAGTAAAAATATGCCCGCATTTCTGGTCTCGTACACATACCAGGTAAAATCATATGCCCATGTCTGCATTGTATCTATACCCGGTAAAAACAGGTAAAAAAATATGCCTAAGGCCATTGAACTCTGAAATTGAAAAAAATACATCTCTATGTCAATGTGCCCACGATGTCTCTTCAATGCCATCACAATGCCACCTACTATGCCCTGTTGGGTCAGAATTCCACAAGCATCCATTCACTAATAATAACAGGATGCACCGTAGGGATGGACAATAGGTGACGCGTGCAAAGAGACTGACCGTTCAGACAGGACAGTAGTAGTCTTTATGCTGACCAGTAGCCAGAGTTGTTAGCGCCAGGGGGAATGGTTCGTTGGGTCACAAGTCACTATATTTTACTGTATTCAGAATTATTCCACAGCATCCATTCACTATGTCATTAGAGGTTACACCGTAGGGATGGACAGTAGGTGACCGCGTTCAAAGAGACTGACCGCTTTGAAAAGACTAGTCTTTATACTGACCAGTAGCCAACGTGGTTAGCGCCAGGGAGGATAATTTGTTGGGTCACAAGTTTTGAGCGCATTGTCCCGTGGGAATACCTAGGGGGTTAGGACAGGGGTATAAATACAGGCAGGTTACATAGTCTCTCTCTCTCTCTCTCTCTCTCTCTCTCTCTCTCTCTCTCTCGACAATACACAAGTATATCAAAGAAATGCTGACAATACACAAGTATATCAAAGAAATGCTGACTATATACAAGCATTGTAATCCTTCCCAGATAAAGTTTGCCTAAATCCCATTCTCCCCCCTCCCGTTAAGTATTTGCAAGTAGACAGAGTGTGTGGGTGCTAAGCTACAACAAAGTTCACTCGGGATTTCCTGATCGGTGGCGCCTAAAGAAATACTAGATTGGGCAGTGCTTGCTTCCCCATCGCCGTGACGTAGTTTTATTTGGTATTACCCTCTCTCTTCTCTTCAATAAACATGATTAGTAAATCTTTTTTCCCCCCCAACAGATGTCGCCGGCTGCGAGGTTTTCCCTTCAACACCGTTGGGACAATAGCGTGAAGACTTTTTATACGCGGGATTATATTATGCAGGAAATACCAGGACGGGACAACCACATGGCCGTCATAAACGAAACATCTTTCGGCGGTGTGTGGTTAAATGGCGGATATAGAACAGCAGAGGTCCTCAATGTGGGGAAATACCACCACAGATACAAGCCGGTTATACGTCACTCAGCTGATATGCTGGGCTACAGTGACCCCAATGCTTACTTTGCGGAAACTACACAAGAAGATGTCGTACCAGTGTCTTTAGAAAACAAAGGTCAACTTACCGTGAAACGGAATACTTGGGCCATACCTCTGGAGATTGTTTACCTGACCCCGCTGCTGTCGTGGAACCCTTACAACATCACCCACATTCCAGACAAAGATTACGTCACCAGGGACGGCAGGCACGGCGGTAACACACCCACAACGGCGTACGACGGGTATCATGATGAGTTATTTCACCTCACGCCCTTTGAATTTTTCGCTAGGGACGATCCCGATTACGCGTTTGCTAAAAGAGTGGGCGTTCTAGACTCGCGGAGAATGTTGAGGAATGTGACCGCGTCCGGCACCAGGGTCTTCTTGCCCAATATCCCGGATGTTGGCGTCATACGTACACGGTTCCCTATCGTGCCAGTACACGGGGAGTACAGCCCCCCTTGGAAAGAGATCAACGCTCTGAAAAAGATTGTGAAGGAGATGCACAAATACGGTGAATTCCTGTACCAAAAACTGGTCAAGCTTTAACTATCTACGCTCTGAAGAGGATTTATTTAACCAATATGTATCACACGTTTGTGAAAATGACTTGTATTCGCTGCATTATTTCAAACTCTATGGCGTCATTATGTGTAAATAAAAGTAGTTTTGTCTTTTTGTCTGACCACAACACAAGAGGACAACTGCCCACCCTAAGATTTGACCCTCGATTTCTTAAAAAACCAAAATTTAAATTTAAAAATAGTTTTGTAACTCAAAAGTCTATTTTTTAAAACACAAATTCCTTTTGTGAAAAATAACTTTAGATATGTTTATGACAGGAACTTGAAATTAAAAAAAATCACCGTCCAGTTAAAATATTGTTGACTACACGGCAAGGTCTTAAAGTAAGGGCAGTTTTATCTGGCTACCAATGAAATATACTGCGATTGGTTCCTGAATAGTAGACACTTCTCACAATTCACAATTAACTAGGTTTTCAGCGACTGCTTCTCGGCTAAGTTCAGACATCAGACTCGAAGCTTAAAATCTGTATAACACGTCATTAATTTTATAAGTGTGTTGTTAGTCCAGAACATTCGAAGTGACTAGGCAAATGGTGAATTAGGTGAACTCTCTTTCACCTCTTACATGAACCGTCAGGTTCAAATGGTTATATCATCTGACTACAATTATTCCCAGGAATTAAAAAAAATGTTGAAATTATTTCCATCATGTTCATGTAACGTCTCATTATAATTAACAATTGTTTGTTACCTATATTTTACTGCACCGGTGAAGACAAACAGTTAAAGCGCTTTTTAATACATTTTCTGTACATATTTTTGTATGAGTACATATTTTTGTATGTGTAAATATTTTAATCAGGCAAATATTAGCCTACTAAGTACTTAATCAAATTCAGTGGCGTAAGCAAGGTTAATTTACAATTAATATATCTAGATCTAGATCTAGATCTAGAATCTACAGATCATCTGTCGAAATGTTTACGATCTAGAATCTAGGTCAAACCAAAATTAATTAGTTAAAAATAAAAATAAATATAAATTATTGAGTTGCTTTATTAAATTATTTTAGTCCTTAAATATTTTATATGAACCTTTGTTTGTTTAGCTATGGGATCGGATAATTTGGGATACAATTTAATTTGAAATAATACTAGATCTAGGACCTATTCTCGAATATGGAGTTTCTTACGCAGAATAAAAGTAAAATATTTTTTAGTAAAATCATACCTGATCCTACGAGCCTATTTAGCTAAGATGTTAGTGTATTAGGTAATTATGCGGGTGGCATCATGTGTGTGTAATTTTTTTCATGTGAATGATAAAGTTGCCTATAGGAACTTGGCGGGATACAGGGCAGGTGAGTTTGAATTCACCTCGGCCGAAATCTTTTTTTAAACGATAAAAACATGTATTCTGAGACTAGATCAGCATTTGAAGGGATAGTGGGGACAGATCCATGCTCAGCCGAAATCGGTGTTTTAAAAGACAAAAACATGTACGAGCTGAGGAGACACTGGGCAGGTGAAGTAGAGTTGGGTTGGTGTAGAGTTCACCTGTGATGTCAGCATATGAAGGGATAGTGTATTCAGGCCCATGCTCAGTCGAATTCGGTGATTTTAAAAGACAACGTCGAAGGTGTGTCTTCTTTTTGAATGTGGGGTCTGGTTATTTTGTGATGAAAAGGGACGGACTTGATGTCATTTATGGATGACCCCTGAAACCCACAGTTATCTAATGATAACGGGTAGTCCAATATATATATATATATCTATCTATATACTACTAAAAGTCAAGTTTGTTTACATGTTTGAATATTTATTTGTTTTTTTGTTTGTTTTTTTGTTTGTCCGATCGAGTATTGTGATATGTTCTACTCTATCTGGAGAGCTGTAAAATAGTATGTAGGTAGAGAATAATTTTTTAATGCAGACAGACTGTTAATCACAAATTTATTTAAAGACGTTAATTAGTTTATTAATTTATTCATACGTATAGTAACCCTATTTTTTTAAAAAGTTTAGTACGACCACTACACTCGGCGGGACCGTGACGTCACAGATTTTTGTTTACTCTTTAGTACAATAAAATGGCGGCGTCTATCGAATAAAATTGTGTTCCCATTCAAAAGTTTAACGCGTTCTAAATCTAATTTTCTGTCGGTCATAACTTTAACAATACGTCCGTTTGCTGTATTTATTATGTTCCAACACTTATATCAATTTTCAACTGTCTTTTTTCATTTAGTTTTACAATAAATTTCTCTAGATATAAAGATCAGCTGTCGAAGGAAATTTATGAATCTAACCTAGATCTAGATCTAGCCTAGATCTAGGTCACTAGACTCAATGTAAATTCTAGATCGAGACTTAATGTAAATTCTACATCTAGAATCTATTTCAGGCCTTAATACATCTAGAATCTATTTCAGGCCTTAATTATTTTATATAAATCTTTGTTTGGCTAATTTAAGATAAAATTTAATTTGAAAGTTACTACTACTAGACTTAGATCTAGATCTATGCGCGTAAATCAAGTTGCATAAGGAGACTCAAAGTATAGTATAAAAATTCATTCGTGACGTCACGAGTAAATAGCTAAGTTGGTAGCGTAGTCCGCTCTCATGCGGGTGGCACAGGTTCTAGACCATTATGTCAATGATATTTTTTTTTCAATTTTTTTTTTAGATGTGAATGATAAAGTTGCCTATCTGAACTTGGCAGGATACAGGGCAGGTGAAGTAGAGTTCATCTGTTTCTTTGTCCTAAGCATATGAAAGGATAGTGTGGTCAGAGACATGCTCGGCTGGAATCGTTTTTTAAACGATAAAAACATGTTGTCTGAGACTTGGCGGGACATTGGGCAGGTGAAGTAGAGTTGAGTAGGTCACATGTGACGTCAGTATATGAAGGGATAGTCCGAAATCGGTGTTTTCGGTGTTTTTAAAAGATAAGAAACATATTTTTGAATGTGGGGTCTGTTTTTGTGACGATAAGTGACACTGCAGTAGCGTAGAGAGGAGGGGGGGGGGGCGGAAGGGGAGGCGGGGGGGGGAGGGTAGGCGGGGGGAGGTGGAGGGGGGAAGGGGGGGGGGCGGGGGGGACATATGTTGGGGCGCAAAAATGGTTTGGAAAAATAAATTGAAAGGTTGAGGGGGGTTCAAATCGAAAGTTTGAGTCGGGGGGGGGGGGGGGGGGTGAAAATCGAAATCTAGGGGGGTGGGGGGGGGTTAAAATCGAAAAGTTTGTCCCCGGGCGCCGGTAAGGGTCGCTATGCCTCTGAGTGACAGACGTGATGTTTTTTGATGGATGACCCCCGAAACCCACAGTTATCCAACGGATGACGGGTATTCTATTATATATATATATATATATATATATATATATATATATATATATATATATATATATATATATATATATATCGTGCGGCGTCAAAACGGCCAATGACAAAACGGTCCCGTCAAAACGACCCCGACAAAACGACCCCGTCAAAACGACCCCGTCAAAACGGCCCCGTCAAAAGGGCCAGCGACATATGGACCCCGTTATATAGGCTCCCGACAAATAGGCTCCCGTCATTTAGGCTACAGACAAATAGGCTCCCGTCATTTAGGCTACCGACAAATATGCTCCCGTTATATAGGCTCCCGACAAAAGGGCTCCCTTCAATAAGGCTCCTGACAAATAGGCTCCCGTCATTTTGGCTCCCGACATATAGTCTCCCGTCATTTAGTTTCTCCACGAAACGGCCCCCGTCATTACGACTCCCGACAAATAGGCTAGCGTCATTTTGGCTCCCGACAAAAAGGCTCCTGTCAATTTGGCTCCAGACAAAAGGACGACTGACACAGTGGAGTCGCTACCGTAAAGCTAGCGTAAGCAAGGCATAGGGGGCCCAAGACACATAGGGCCCTTTTCCCTCATAAAGAATTAAAACTTTTACAATGGAATTTTAATATTTGTTACATATAAATAGTTTTAAAAAAGAAAAAGGTTAAAAGTTCCAAAAAGCACCCCCCCTCCACCGTTTCGGCAGTGGGATTCTGTGTGTGTGTGTGTGTCAAACAGAGCCCAGTCGTTATAATAACACTACAGGCGATATCACTTTGTCCTGCAAGACATTGAGAGAATCAGCCTATAAATAAACTTTTTAGCAGTAGTAGGCAAACATAATAATATAGTATAAATACATAATCAGGACATATAAAATACAAAATGTTGCCTTCAGAATATTTATAGATTAAAAAATATCCATCGTAAGTAGAAGTTGATCTCTTCGTTTAACTCCTCTGTAGCCTAACGCAGAGGCGTAGCGAAGGCGGGGCGGGGGGTGCGGACCGCAACTGGTGACACCATTTAGGGGGGTGACACCAAAGGCAAAAATTTTAAAATTTATAGAATGAAATGCCATTTTTCCAGATCCATTAGTTAAAGTTAAATAGTCTTCTAAGTACAAATCGAAAATTATATCAAGAGGGGTTGGGGGGTGACACCACGACGTAAACGTAAACTATAAAGAAAACAATGCTACATCCAACTGTATTATACACAGACTGTAGATAAACATCGTTACTATTAAGTCTGCAGTGATTAAAGCTTAAACAAGTACGTGTACCAGTATGTGGCATATATATAAATTTTAGGCCTATGTAGGCCGACACACACATACACACACACACACACAAACGTATATATATATATATATATATATATATATATATATATATATATATATATATATATATATATATATATATATATATGCTTTGTTTCCTGGGAGGGGGTGACAATACGAAGTGCCGCACCGGGTGACACCCGACCTAGCGATGCTACTGGCCTAACGGCTGACGAAGGGGCCCACTGGTAATTTTGCATAGGGGCCCAAAAATCCTGGCTACGCCACTGCACTGACAATACCGTTTCTGTAGAGACTAAGTCTCCCGGCAAAGCGGTCTCATTGAATATGACACCTGCCAGTGGGACCCCTTCATCAATATTCTTTAGAGTTAGCTTATCCAACACTCTTATGTAATACAACGTATGCATCTCTTGTTCAGCAGGTCTTATTTTTATCTTAGTATATCTATTATAAAATATAATATGTTTTAATTTAAGGGTCATCTATTTATGACATCCATAATAGAGTCGGTTATAGGCTGTTCCAACTCAGTGTGTGGGGAGAAGGGTCCACGCTGTACCCTCCTAACTGCAGTATGCTTGTAGATTATCAAAACAAAATGCTGTTATCATGTAAACATCATGTATATCATACATTTACACGTCTGTGCTAGCTTTTAAGCAACAGATCTTTTCTGTTGTAAATTAAACATTGTCAAAACTTTAGAATTGGTGGAATTTAGCTGTTAAGGGCTCGATTTGTTTGTGAATTAATGTTGGTTCATGAAAAGCAATTTCATTCGGGCATTAAAAAGAGGTTATAGTGGTATTGGTGGTAGGACACAATGGTTACTTTTATGCCAATAGTGGTCATATCATTCATTTTTCTGGAGCCAAAATGTCGGGAGTCATTTTGTCAAAAGCCAATATGTCGGGAGCCCAATTGCCGGGAGCCAATATGTCGGGAGCCCATTTGTCGGTAGCCAATATGTCGTGAGCCCCTTTGCCGGGAGCCCATTTGTCTTGAGCCCTTATGTCGGGAGCCAATATGTCGGGAGCCCAATTGCCGGGAGCCAATATGTCGGGAGCCCATTTGTCGGTAGCCAATATGTCGTGAGCCCCTTTGCCGGGAGCCCATTTGTCTTGAGCCCTTATGTCGGGAGCCAATATGTCGGGAGCCGCTTTGTCGGGAGCCAATATGTCCTGAGCCTATTTGTCAGTGGTTAATATGTCGGGAGTCCATTTGTCTGGAGCCTAAATACCGGGAGCCCATTTGTCGGGAGCCTATATGTCGCAAGTCAATATGACGGGAGTCCATTTGACGGGAGCCAATAAGTAGGGGCCCTTTTGGCGGGGCTATTTTGACTGGGTCGTTTTGTCGGGGGTCGATTTGACGGGGTCAAATTAACGGGGCCGTTTTGACGGGGCCGATTTGTCCCGGGTCGCTTTGACAGGGCACTTATATATATGTAGATATATATATATATATATATATATATATATATATATATATATATATATATATATATATATATATATATATATATATATATATATAATGCTGGAAAAAATTTGAACCCCCCATGAGACGATCCTGGCTACGCCACTGATCAAATTTCTGTATATATTTAGTCAATTGATATATTGAAAATTTAATGCTACAAACTTTTAATTATCCCTTTCTACAAACTACTTCAACACGCCAAACTGACGCCTATTTTTATGAGGTTTTCATCAAAACGTTACTATTCGTGTGTATTTGGACGCGTGCCCTGTTTTTCAGAAGTTTAATTAGATGTGAACAATGTCGGCAGTTCATTTCTTGGTTCTTAGTTGTTGTGGTGCTAGTTTGTCCACACTACCAACTAGACAAGCCAAGGCATGCTGTTAGTACCTCGACGACGTCCCAGCTGTCAGGGGAGTCACGGGGCTCTTGGGAGCTACCGGTTACATTACAGTACGGGTGATGAGTGCAACACAGTGATTCTTACAAAAGCCAGACCCTACCCCCATGACGTCATTTATGAATAGTAATTGACTATTATTAATTTCCAATTAATTCTAAACGTTCTAAATAATTTATACATAATTATATAAAAAATAATCTTAACTTTCCTGTTTTGTAAACTAGATGCACCTAATACTATGCAAGTAAACTAATATCTGCTGACTAGTGCTGTCTAGTGTCTGACAAAATGTGCTGAAGTGGTGAATGTACTATTAGAAAGTAGTTCATAAACGATACACAGGGGAGGTAATTCAAATAAAGTTTACTTTGACATGTCTTTAACCGGAAGTGGTACTTTTTCTACTTTGAAATTTTAAAAAGCCTATAACTGGAGTACTATTTCAGATCTAATTCTCTACCTTCTGTCAAATTTTGAGTAATTTCCGTTGAACGGAAGTACTAATTTACGCTATTTCCGATTTCTCAAAAAACGCATGTAAATTTAAAAAGCACTAATAATATTCCGCACTATTATGCACATTTTGTTTTGGCGTTCGCTTGGTGCGAGTTATATAAGAATATTCGAGAAAGTTTAGGGGAGATCACTCCCGGTTTATTAAAATATGTAAATAAATTTGACGACAATTTTCAATCCTCGTATTTGGTCCCCATCCCCTGCTCCATCCGCCACAGTACACTTTGGTGGATCGGTCGAACAGTTACATGGCCTCTGTTTGGCTATCAATGGGGAGCAACCATTCACTGAAGGCATTACAATTTGAAGTTTTGCCAATATTTTACACTGCAGTTTGTGTAATGGATTTTAATTTTTGCGAAAGAGCGTGGTATAGTGACTGTAAAATAAAGATAATCGTACAGCAGCAACAGTTTTTATTACAAACCAAATATCAAGTAAAAATGCACGAAAATAAAATTCAAAACTCTTAAAAACATTAATAATAGTCGGCTGTGGGCCCCCTAAACGGGTGCCCCCCCCCCCCCCACACGCTGAGAGAATCGTGTAAAAAAAAACTTAGTGTTGTCTCACATTAATTAAGTCAGACGCAGAGAGAATCATGTAAAACAACCTTTGTTTTGTCTAACATTAGTTTGTCACAGCAGATACATACAGTGGAGCTAATTAAGGAATAATTACAAAAAATAGCATTGGTCTATTTATTTCACGAAATTAATTTCTTCAGGCAATGTATTTAACGCGAATGGTTGTTAAGTGAGTTTGGTTTGATTAAAGTAATAAGAATACAAGATAGTTAGAGTAGAATATGATTATATTACATTTTAATTAGAATGCAATATGGTTATGATGATATAGTGTTGGTATATGAAAGATAAAAGGAAGATGTGGTCATTTGAAGGAAAGAGTTTTTACATGAATGAGAGGGATTAATATGTAGTTGAAATCTCATACAAAATGTGACGCTACATTTTTCTGGCGCAATATACACATAATTTTTACTAATCGCGCAAAGGCAGTAGTTCTGAACCTTTTTGGGGGAACCGAACCCCACCAATTTCATAATAGAGTCGTGTTTCTGAAAAGTCAGAAGGCGGAGTGGATATTGAAGTTTTGATTTACACTCAAATTGCTAGTAGTTGTTCTAAATAAACCGGAAGTGATCTCCCCTAAACTTTCTGGAATATTCTTATTTACATTACGCGATATGGCAACTCAGGATATAGACACTATTGTTAATCCATTTTTAATTACTTAAACTTTTAAAAATAGAATAGAATCTCGTAGAAAAAAGTATTGCGCACGAAGTGAATACTAAAAAGAGGCGTAGCGATGGGGGCCCAGGGGTGCATATGTCCCCCGGGCGCCGACCGTATACAACGCCAAAATAATCTCATTTCAGCTGCTATTTTGAATTATAAATATTAAAAAATATCTGGGGGGTGGGGGCGCCAAATTAAAAGTTTGTCCCCGGGATGGTTCGCTACGCCACTGATGACAAACAAAATGTGTATGATAGTGCGGAACATTATTAGTACTTCACAAATTCACATGCATTTTTAAGAAATCGGAAATAGCGTAAACTACTTTTTCTGTTAAGCAGAAAGTACGCAAAATTTGAACAAAGACAGAAAAGTAGATATTTTTTTACATGTGAAATTTCATTTATCTATCTGAAATAGTACTCAAGTTATAGGCTTTAGAAAAATTGAAAGTAGAATAAGTTCCACTTCCGGTTGTTGGAAAAGTTGATACATATCTACAAATTTGATATAATAGTTATATATGAAATTTTATCAACTAAGCTGTAACGGTACCCAAGTTATCGTGTTAACGGACACACACACAGACACATGGACAAGATATTAAAACAATGTTTTTTTCGTCTCAGGGAGGTGTAAAACGTCGAAATTTGCAAAAATCTCGATTTTTTTTACACGATTACCAGACTTTCTTTATACTTCGTATATACAAGAAAATGGAATGAATATAATATACAGGAAACCCGTCTTGATTGGATTTGAATTTCGGGCTTATAAAGATAAAAAAGAAAGTAAAAAGCATGTAGTGAAAAGTAAATATAGCAGGGTGGGGTGACTTGTTTAATTAAACATAGCGTCTGATTAAAGTTACTGTTAATTGCAGTGTCACAGCATGTGGATCTCTTGTTAAAAATAGTCAACTAATTAGCCTGGTTTTTAATTAATGATTTTGTCACTGTTTGGTCTGACGCGTGATGCAGGTCCTTGATGCAGGTTCAATTTGATCTGGCATACTGGGTGGGGCTAAACCGCGGGCTTTAAAAACCGTTCAACCAAGGGAAGAAATCCAGTGCAGAGAATGACACTTGGAAGTGTTTTGAGATTGGTAAGTTATAGACAGTTATTTTGGTCAAAAGTTGATGTCATTTCGGGGAACTCGCGACTTACATAATTTCAGTAGTTTAACTATTGTAATAATAGTGCTGATCATTTCATTATTGCAAATATGTTCTATGAAATACCTAAAAAAAATTCCTATGGAACACCTGTAAAAGTCCTATAGAACACCTGTAGAAGTTACATGGAATACCTGTAAAAGTGTTGAAATACTTGTAAAAGTCCTATGGAACGACTGTAGAAGTCCTATGGACAGGTTTAGAAGTCCTATGAAACACCAGTAGAAAGAGTGTTGAGCACCTTTAGAAAACATTTGGAACACCTGCAGAAAACCAATAGAGCCCCCTTAGCTAGGTCACATAACAAAGCATAACGAAACCGCTGTTTTTCTTTGTAAATAAATTTATTAAATTTATATTCTTTATTGTGCTTGTTGCATTTTGTCTTTTGCTAACAACAAATAAATCAAAAGTCATTCTTATAGTTAAGCTTATTTATAGTGATTTAATTTTAATTAAAAAATTTGCAGTTCTAAATATATAAAACTGTTTCGTAAACCAATTTGTTTAATTCTTCACTTATATGTAGGTGCTATTGACCTTAGTTGTAGGTCACGTGATAAGTAGTAGAAACAGATTACAAAAGGTACAAACTGTAGTGAAGAGTCTGGCTAGACAGGTAGGTGACCTATTATGTTAATTAAGTCAGCGTTAATTTATGCCGGGGTGCATAATGGTACCTGTGAGATTGATGAGCTTCTGTGTCTTAGATATCAGTGTGGTGATGTTGTCAGATGACTGCTTGTGAATTTCAATGGATAAAACAGAAGACGAGAATGGAACAAAATATGCTCTTGCTCAGTTTGGTTTAACCCCCCCCCTCACCATCGCCTCTTAACTTCATTCACACATGCAACAGTAGGTTCTCTACTGGTTGATAAAATAAGATAGCATCAAGCTAAAAAAATACATTGAGAAAGATGGGTTTTCATAGTTAGAGAAACTAGTTTGTATCATTATTACCGTGTTTTCTCTTCATCTTCTTCGTTCTTAATTTTTAGTATTGGAATGGATTCCCTCTAACACAATTAACTAACTTAGTCAATGTGTTTGATATCAAACTTTAATGATGAGCTAAAGTAAGAAAGTAAAGTTCCCATTTGGAAGCTGGCGGTCTATAGGGCAAATGAAGTAGAGTTCACATGTTCCTATGACTACGGCATATGAACGGATAGTGCTATGGAGAGGAAGTTTAATTTTTTTTAATCGTAGAATATCCTTTAAATTTGAAGTCATTACTGGCAAAATTACATCACTAGTGACATGTATGTAATCATTACTCACATACTCCCATGACATTTGTGTCCTAATCTTTTGGCTCCAAATCTGCTAGTCTGTTGTTGAGCTGGTCATGAGTATGACGGACAACACTATCGTTAAGAATTCAAATGTTGCTGATGTTTTTCATGAGGATTATATTGCAGCATATGTCAGACAACAGTATCGTTAAGAATTCAAATTTTGATGACGTTTTCATGCAGGTTATGTTGCAGCATATGTGAGACAACACTTTCGTTAAGAATTCAAACGTTGCTGACGTTTTCTATGCAGATTATGTTGCAGCATATGTCTGACAACACTATCGTTAAGAATTCAAACGTTGCTGACGTTTTTCGTGCAGATTATGTTGCAACAGATGGGAGTGGAGGAAAAACTCAGGCAAGATGGCGGGTCCGGTCTGAAACAAATCCGGCTGGACCTGGACGGGCCCAAACTCTACTACGTCACCAGCCACAGTGGTCTCACTATGAACCACATCCACGACCACAGCAGCACAATTCGGACGTTGGGCGTAGGGGCAGGACAGGTCAGTTGATATGTTGTTGTTGCTTTTTTTTAATTTACCATCAATCTTCTCTAGATAAAAAAAAAATTCAATTAGTATAAATCGTCTCTAGCAAACTATTTTTGTTTAATTTACCGATAATTTTCACTATAATCTATCTATATACTACTAAAACTCAAGTTTGTGTACATGTTTGAATATTTTTGTTTTGTTTTTTTGTTTGTCTGATTGACTATTGTAAATGGTTCTACTCTATGTGGAGAGCTGTAAAATTGAAAATTTTTTGTTTTCATGCAGACTGCTAATCACAAATTTATTTAAAGACATTAATTCATTTATTGATTTATTCATTGGTAGATTAACCACATTAATTTTAAAAGATTAGAAAAACGACTTGACTTGACGGAATAGTGACGTCACATTTTTTGTTTACTTTTTAGTAAAATAAAATGGCGGCTTCTATCGAAAAAGATTGTGTTCCCATTCCAAAGTTTTACGCGTTCTAAAGCTAATTTTCTGTCGGCTATAACTTTAACAATACTTATTACGTTCCAACACTTAAAATCAATTTTTAACTGTCTTTTTCATGTAGTTTTACGATAAATTTCTCTAGATCTACAGATCAGCTGCCGAAGGAAGAACATACAAACATGTTATGAAATCTAGATTCTAGATCTAGATCTAGGTCACTAGACTTTACGTAAATTCTAGATCTAGACTTAATGCAAATTCTACATCTAGAATCTATTTCAGGCCTTATTTTATATAAATCTTTGTTTAGCTTCAATGAACATCTAATTCGAGAATACATCGGATTTATCTATCTAGGTTCTAGAGCTAGATATAGTAGGATTATTTGTTTTTTTGGAGGCGTGGTCGGTTGCTACCAACAATGGCGTCCGGATGGGACGCATGACTTCCGACTAATTTTAGGCTATGTTTACCACGAGCAAAATGGCGGGTTTTCACGTTATATAAACATGCTATAGGTGGCCAGGGCTAGATATGCCAGTAAAGCATTTTAAAATTTGTTTTCGATAATGAAGGCTAAATTTTGAATTCGTGTCATTAAAATTAAATAGAACTTTTTAAAGGTCACCTGTGACGTCAGTATATGAAGGGATAGTGTGTTTTTAAACACAAAAAAAGTCTTTTTGAATGTGGGGTCTGGTTATTTTGTGATGATTAGTGCCAGACGTGATGTCATGTATGGATGACCCCCGAAACCCACAGTTAGCTAACTAGATAACGGGTAGTCTAGTATTTTTAAAAAAATTACCATCAATCGCTTCTAGAAATAAAAAAAAAATATACCATAATTTCCGTATACTATTTTCTAAACTATGTTGCATTGTTTATTTCCGCATACTATTTTCTAAACGGTGTTGCATTGATTTGTTTCCTTGCAGTACGTTCTAAACGGTGTTGAGTTTCGGACCCGCCATGAAAATTTCAAGCTGCAGATGCCCGGTAAAACAAAACTGAACGGGGAAGTTGAAGACATACCTTTCCCTCCAGTACCCCAAAATATACTAGCGATGCCGACCGTTGAACAACAGGTAAGATAAAAATTAACATATGGTTTATTTTCATGTAAAGAAGTTACTTAACAACGCAGGTTATTGCGATCCCTAATTAGATTGAATTATTATCTGTTTGTGGGAAGGATTTTTTATACACTACCTAGAGAGCTCAGGAAGGAATATCTGTTACAGATCCCCGTGGCGAAGGAATGTTCTAGAGAATATAAGTTACTACATGTAAAATGGAATATTATGTTTAAAAAATGAAGCTTGAGATGCAAATATTAGAATTTTAGTTTTTATAGTAAAAACCAAAAATCAAGCAGAAAATTTGCGGGCCCCTAAAAAATCGGGGGCCCCTGACTGCAGTCACCTCACCCTCCTTTTTTAATCCGCTACTTGTTGACATTGTTACCTAGATCAGGGGCATTGGGCAGATGTTTTGTGTTGACATTGTTTCGTACATTAAGGGCAGGGGTTAAGGTTGACATTAACAAGAACATGATGGATATTGGGAACGGGTTTAGAATAGCTATCAAAACTCATCAGAAGTGCTATCAAAACTCATCAGAAATGCTATCAACAGTCACCAGAAGTGCTATCAAAACTCACCAGATGTGTTATCAAAACTCATCAGAAGTGCTATCAAAACTCACCAAAAGTGCTATCAAACTCACCAGAAGGGCTATCAAAACCATCCCTGTTCTCGCAGTACAGCCAGTTACAACCCTCTTGCTTATCTCTACAGATCAATGAACTACGTCAATATTTCCTAGCCTTCTCCAAAAGCGACACAAGGATACGGAACTACACCCCGTACTTCAGGCCTGTCCTATGTTACCTAGAAGGTGCATGGGTCAACAAGACGGAGAACTTAAAACCTCATCTAATGGAAGGTGACCACGGTGTTGATATCGAGACGTATTTTGACCTACAGGTCTGTTCAGCTAATTTTCACACATGTGTGTGTGCATCTGTGTGTGCTTTTGTACGTGCACGTTTATGTGCATTTGTATGTGTACGTGCAAGTGTACGTGTATGTGCGTGCGTATGTTAATGTGTATGTGCATGAATGTATATGTGCGTGTTTTTTTTTTAAATATATTTTTTTGTCTGTGTAGGAGAGGAATCGGTTTAACGGCCACACCGGCAAGGTCAGTCTCAGGGAGAATCACCCGCTGTTGCCGACGATCATTTCCAAGATCTCGGACTTTGGTTCCCCGACATACGGCCAGTGGGACTACAGGATACTCTGTTATCCCATCGATGACAGCCCACATTACGAGGGGTACCTCAAACTGTCGATTCTACAGCCTCTGGACGATCTGAGTGTCCGACTTTCAAGAAATCTGCCGTGGTACCTGTACCAGGTAAGTAAAAATATGCCCGCATTTCTGGTCTCGTACACATACCAGGTAAAATCATATGCCCATGTCTGCATTGTATCTATACCCGGTAAAAACAGGTAAAAAAATATGCCTAAGGCCATTGAACTCTGAAATTGAAAAAAATACATCTCTATGTCAATGTGCCCACGATGTCTCTTCAATGCCATCACAATGCCACCTACTATGCCCTGTTGGGTCAGAATTCCACAAGCATCCATTCACTAATAATAACAGGATGCACCGTAGGGATGGACAATAGGTGACGCGTGCAAAGAGACTGACCGTTCAGACAGGACAGTAGTAGTCTTTATGCTGACCAGTAGCCAGAGTTGTTAGCGCCAGGGGGAATGGTTCGTTGGGTCACAAGTCACTATATTTTACTGTATTCAGAATTATTCCACAGCATCCATTCACTATGTCATTACAGGTTACACCGTAGGGATGGACAGTAGGTGACCGCGTTCAAAGAGACTGACCGCTTTGAAAAGACTAGTCTTTATACTGACCAGTAGCCAACGTGGTTAGCGCCAGGGAGGATAATTTGTTGGGTCACAAGTTTTGAGCGCATTGTCCCATGGGAATACCTAGGGGGTTAGGACAGGGGTATAAATACAGGCAGGTTACATAGTCTCTCTTTCTCTCTCTCTCTCTCTCGCTCGCTCTCTCTCTCTCTCTCTCTCTCTCTCTCGCACAAGCGCTCCGGTTAGGGGAAGCCTCGCTCAGCGGAACGAGAATTTATTGAATTATTAAACAGCACAAACTAAGAAGTCTCCTGTCCTGTTCTATATTTTACTGTAGCAGACTCGGGTAGAATTATTAAATACCCCTAGAAAACGACGGCCTTGTTGGCTAGTGCCCGAGCCAGTGTCAGCAACGTATTCGGCGGGAGACTAGGCATACGGACTGCAAAATTGTAGTCCGGTCTGCAACATGCCCTACTTTGATATCGATATATCATCGTTAATGGCATAACGGCGGTGTAACACTGTCGTAGGGTTACTAAATCATAGGACTAAGTAAGTGCTGTATCAAAGAAAGACTTACATTATACAAGTTATCAAAAGAAATACTCACAATAAACACGTATATCAAAGAAATACTGACAATACACACATATATCAAAGAAATGCTGACAATACACAAGTATATCAAAGAAATGCTGACTATATACAAGCATTGTAATCCTTCCCAGATAAAGTTTGCCTGAATCCCATTCTCCCCCCTCCCGTTAAGTATTTGCAAGTAGACAGAGTGTGTGGGTGCTAAGCTACAACAAAGTTCACTCGGGATTTCCTGATCGGTGGTGCCTGAAGAAATACAATATTGGGCAGTGCTTGCTTCGCGATCGCCGTGACGTAGTTTTATTTGGTATTACCCTTTCTCTTCTCTTCAATAAACATGTTTAGTAAATCTTTTCCCCCCCAACAGATGTCGCCGTCTGCGAGGTTTAGCATTCAACACCGTTGGGACAATAAAGACAAGTATTTTTATTATCGGGATTATCTCATGCAGGAAATACCAGGCCGGGACAACCAAATGGTCGACATTAACGAAACATCTTTCGGCGGTGTGTGGTTCAATGGCGGATATAGAACAGCAAAGGTCCTCAATGTGGGGAAATACCACCACAGATACAAGGGGTTTATAAGTTATCGTTCTGATATGCTGGGCTACAGTGACCCCAATGCGTACTTTGCGGAAACTACACAAGAAGATGTCGTACCAGTGTCTTTAGAAAACAAAGGCCAACTTACCGTGAAACGGAATACTTGGGCCATACCTCTGGAGATTGTTTACCTGACCCCGCTGCTGTCGTGGAACCCTTACAACATCACACACATTCCAGACAAAGATTACGTCACCAGGGACGGCAGGCACGGCGGTAACACACCCACAACGGCGTACGACGGGTATCATGATGAGTTATTTCACATCACGCCTATTGAATTCTTCGCTGGGGACGATCCCGATTACGCGTTTGCTAAAAGAGTCGGCGTTCTAGACTCGCGGGGAATGTTAAGGAATTTGACCGCGTCCGGCACCAGAGTCTTCTTGCCCAACATCCCGGATGTTGGCGTCATACGTACACGGTTCCCTATCGTGCCAATCCACGGGGAGTTCAGCCCGCCATGGAAAGAGATCAACGCCCTAAAAAAGATTGTGAAGGAGATGCACAAATACGGTGAATTCCTGTACCAAAAACTGGTCAATCCTTAACTATCTACGCTCTGAAGAGGAGTCATTTAACCAATATGTATCACAAGTTTGTGAAAATGACTTGTATTCGCTGTTTTATTTCAAACACCATTGCGACATTATGTTTAAATAAAAGTAGTTTTGTCGTTTTGTAGTTTTTTGTCTTTTTATTTAAAAAATAGTTGTGTAACTCAAACGACTATGTTTTAACTTAAATTCCTTTCTTGAAAAATAACTGTATATACGTTTATTACAGGAACTTGAAATTTTAAAATATCCCATTCCAGTTTATATATTAACTGACTACACGGCAAAGTCTTAAAGAGGTGGTAGCTTTATGTAAGCATCACTAAAATATACTGCGATTGGTTCCTGAATGGTAGACACTCCTCACACTTCACATTTAACTAGGTTTTCAGCGACTGCTTCTCGGCTAAGTTCAGTCATCAGACTCAAAGCTTAAAATATGTATAACACGTCTTTAATTTTATAAGTGTGTTGTTAGTCCAGAACATTCGAAGTGGCTAGGCAAAGGGCTGACGAGACCATCCTTTCACACGCCGAGGTCACAGAAACAGGTGAACTCTATTTCGCCTCTTACATGAACCGTCAGGTTCAAATGGTTATATCATCTGACTACAATTATGCCCAGGAATTAAAACAATGTTGAAATTATTTCCATCATGTTCATGTAACGTCTCATTATAATTAACAATTGTTTGTTATCTATATTTTACTGCACCGGTGAAGACAAACAGTTAAAGCGCTTTTTAATACATTTTCTGTACATATTTTTGTATGAGTACATATTTTTGTATGTGTAAATATTTTAATCAGGCAAATATTACCTACTAAGTACTTAATCAAATTCAGTGGCGTAAGCAGGGTTACTTTACAATTAATTTCTCTAAATCTAGATCTAGAATCTACAGATCATGTTTACTATCTAGAATCTAGGTCAAACCAAAATTAATTAGTTAAAAATAAAAACAATTTTAAAAAGACGTTAAATTATTGAGTTGCTTTATTAAATTATTTTAGTCCTTTAATATTTTATATGAACCTATGTTTGCTTAGCTATGGAATCGGATAATTTAAGATACAATGTAATTTGAAATAATACAAGATCTAGTGCCTATTCGCGGAAATGGAGTTTCATACGCAGAATACAAGTAAAATATTTATTAGTATAATCATACCTGATCCTACGAGCCTAGTTAGCTAAGATGTTAGTGTCTTAGGTTACCATGCGGGTGGCATCATGTGTGTGTAAATTTTTAATTTTTTTTTTAATGTGAATGAAAAAGTTGCCTATAGGAACTTGGCGGGATCTGTGTTTCTTCCAGACTTCTTTCTCCGGGAGGGGGGGGGGGGGGGCACTTGAAATTTTCGGGGAGGGGGGGGGGGGGCGGTAGACTTTCTTCGGGGGGGGGGGGGGAGGACACTGTTAAAAGAATATATTTTCTATATAAATTATATAAATTTCTTTTTGTTTGGGGGGGGGGGAGTTGAATTATTTCGGGGGAATTACCCCCCCCCCCCCGAAGAGATGTCTGGAAGAAACTCTGGGCGGGATGATACAGGGCAGGTGAGGTAGAATTCACCTAGGCCCGAATTTTTTTTTAAACGATAAAAAGATGTTTTCTGAGACTAGGTGTAGAGTTCATCTGTGACGTCAGCATTTAAAGGGATAGTGTGGACAGATCCATGCTCAACCGAAATCGGTGTTTTAAAAGACAAAATCATGTATGAGATGGGGGAGACACTGGGCAGGTGAAGTAGAGTTGGGTTGGTGTAGAGTTCACCTGTGATGTCAGCATATCAAGGAATAGTGTAGTCAGGCCCATGCTCAGCCGAAATCGGTGTTTTTAAAAGACAACGTCGAAGGTGTGTCTACTTTATGAATGTGGGGTCAAGTTATTTTGTGATGATAAGGAACAGACGTGATGCCATTTATGAATGACCCCCGAAACCCACAGTTATGTATATATTTAGTCAATTGATATATTGTAAATTTAACGCTACAACCTTTTAATTATTCGTTTCATCAAAACGTTACCAATCGTGTATATTTAGACGTGTGCCCTGTTTTCCAGAAGTTTAATTAAATGTGAACATGTCGGCAGTTCATTTCTTTGATCTTAGTTGTTAGGGTGCTAGTTTGTCTACACTACCAACTAGACAAGCCAAGGCATGCTGTTAGCACCTCGGCGACGTCCCAGTTGTCAGGGGAGTCACGGGGCTACCGGTTACATTACTTTACGGGTGATGAGTGCAACACAGTGATTCTTACAAAATGCCAGACCCTACCCCCCCCCCATGACGTCATTTATGAATAGTAATTGACTATTATTAATTTTCAATTAATTCTAAAAGTTCTAATTAATTTATAAATAATTATATAACAAATAATCTTACCTTTCCTGTTTTGTAAACTAGATGCACCTAATACTATGCAAGTAAACTAATATCTGCTGACTAGTGCTGTCTAGTGTCTGACAAAATGTGCTGAAGTGGTGAATGTACGATAAGGAAGTAGTTCATAAACGACACATTGATCTATTCGATACTTGCGAGGCTAAGAAAGAAGGGTGGGATGGGAGTCGGCTTGGGAAAAAACTTGAAAGAGACAACCAAGCGCCTATGTACACAGGGGAGGTAATTCACATAAAGTTTACTTTGACATGTCTTGTAAAAGCAAAAACAAGAAAACGTATATAAAACCGAAGTTTCTAGTAGTATGCTATTTTTTATTAATTGTAGGATACAGGATAGTACAGGATAGA